TTCTATCTTGAGTAGGGAGTCTAAGCAAGCAGTGGCAGTCAGTTGCCAGGTAGGGGGTGGGAGGTGGACCATTGCCAGAAGCAGAAACCAGACTGTCCGCTGGGCAGGGCTCCACAGCTGGGCTGTAACTCGATTCTCCTGGTTTTCTCAGGGGCAGGACCCCCTCCGGTCTGGAATGTAGCCGGGGCCCAGAGAAGACTAACAAATGCTGAAGGCTTTGAAATCTCACCTCCAGGGGCCTCTCAGTGTTGAACAAACAGCCCCTCCTCCTGCCTCTGTGGGGAGCAGTCCCACCCTAAGCTGCCACTGAAGTTTTTCTGGCTATGGTTTCTGCTGCCACCCCCACTGCCCCATCCTGTGGAGAGGGAGAAGCAAAAGACTCAGGCCCCCTCTCCCGCCAGCTAAGGTTTCTAACCCAAACGCCCCCCCCAAGACAGGGTCTAATTCATCTCTCACCTGAGACAAAGTAGAGAAGGGCCAGGTACCCCATCATTCCCATGGCCAAGACTGTTCCATGAGGCCAGGCCTGAGACCAGGAAGGGGTGCCCCTGTAGAACTCTATTCTCAAACCCCAGAGCAGGATGAGGTTGTGAAGGTTTGTTTGCATTTCTATAAAAGCCGTCTTTGTCTACTGCTGTCCAGCAGTTCCCAAGTAGGCAAGCTGGAGAGAGAGGGCTGTGACCCCGAGACTAACCTGCCACACTCCCCCACCTGCCACATTGAGTGGAAAACAGCTCCGGGGTCATGGCCTTTCAGCAGTTTCTTCTTCCAGGCAGGTTCCAGCTGAAGAGACCCTGAGGAGAGAGGTTCACCCCTCTTCCTGGGACCCCACGTGTCATAAGGGGGCAGCCTGAACATGCTGTCACACAGGTGCACACACGAGGCCTGCCTCAGCTCCAAGGGCAGGGAACTGAGCCCCCCATAATATCCTTTGAGAGGGGTTTCTGCCACTTTCTAAGAAAGGCTGTTCTTCATTCCCGCACCCACTTTGGGGGTCCCAATCTCTGGGCCTCGTGTATTCTGGACTCCATCTATAACTTTGTTTTCTCCTGCCTACCTGCTCCCCCGGATCTCAACTCATTTCAACCCTTCCTCTTCTTTCTCTGCCCCATCCCAGTGAACAAGATCCTCCCCCAAGCTCAAGTCCCCCAGCAGCGCAGGTTCCAGGACAAGCCTCCGCCTCTCCCTCCCCCACCCCGGGCCCTTCCTGGGACCCCAGTCCTGAGGGACTCATGGCTTGCCTCTCTTTGGCCCTGTCCACAAACATAGTTGGGGAGCCATGTGCGAAAGACAGGAGGTTCAGGGAGACCAGCGACCCTGCAGAAATCCCTGATGTGGACGGGGTTGGCTTGCTGCCACCAACTCAGAGAGACAGAGTAAGTCACAGGCTCTGCTGCGTGGGGGGTGGGGGGTGGGGGTAGGGCAGAATATGCTGGTCTCTGCAACCCCTCCAGGCCAAGTCACCAACCAGACTCCTTCAACCTCCGCCACAGACAAGATCGCTCTGGGTCACTCTGGATAGTCCCTGTATCATTTCCTGTTCTCCCACCAGCCAGCCCTCACGTGTAGGCCTCCCTCTCTTGCAGGCCCTTCTGCCTTCCCAGGAAGAATTTCCCCAACTTTCCACAGGCCATTAACTCAGTGCCCTGACTTGTTTGGTTAATGAATAATTAGACTGGACAGCGTCTGACCTCAGGTTGACCTTGGGCTCTCTGCTCGCCTGAAGCTTCCCTTCCTCCTGGAGTATGTGACCATTTCAGGGTGACCCTGCTTCTCTCCATTAGTGGGCTCCGAGCTCTGGAAATGCACCAGACAGCGAGAAACTGGACTCCATCGTAAAAGGCCAGCCTGCAGGACGCTCAGAGGCAGACTCCTTGCTGAACCAGAGGAACGGTACTGGGAACTGGTACGGGGCCTCCAGCAAGCCCTGCCACTGATGCTGAACCCAGATAACTCCGGACCCCGTAACCCCGCCACTGGGCCTCAGTTTCCCAGTACTCATAGACAGGTGGTTTGAAATATGGTCATGATTCATTCTGTGGTGTGGTATACATGGACAAGCGTATAATAGATGGAGCCAAGAAGACCTCCTAACCTCTATGTCTTGTAAACTGGGTTGGGGTAGTGACCTGTGTGTCTGGCAGCACTGAGGAGGGCAGGTGTCCTGACCTATGGTCCTGGCCACCTCTGCTGCTGGGTGGGCCTCACGCCTCCATGAGTCTGGTCTACCTCACAGACTTGACATGAAGAACCAGAGTGAACCGGAGGCCTTCCCCTCCCTCCAGCAGGGAGTGCTGGACTGGGCCTCACCCTCCTTGCTGAGGCCAGAGAAGAAGCAAAAGGTTAGAGGAGGCCAGAGCTCCTGGCAGGCAGAGCTTTGTGAACACAGACTGCCGAAGAGGAGCTCCCCCTGGAGAATGGCAGGCTCTTCAGCTCGCTCGGCCATGCAGGCTGGCAGGCCTTTAAAATGAATGCAAAGGAAATGAGGGGGGCCTGAAAGCTGGGAGACGGCTGCTGGGGACTGGAGTCTGGAAAGACGAGCGCATCTTCTTCTGGGCATGAGGACTGGAGCAGACCCGAGCCCGAGTCCTGGGTGCCCATGGGCGTCACCCAGCAAGAGATGAATCTGGATGTCTGAGAGGTAGGAGCTCAGTAGATTCAGAAGGTGTTGACAATTGATGGTCACTTCTGGCCGGGAACCCATGATGCGTGGGTTTGTGTTGGATTTTTAATTAGTTCAATTATTTATTTAGTGTCTATGTGAGAGCCTGTGGAGTGTGCTCCTGTTTGTCGTGTGTGCACAGCACATGAATACGCATGCAGGTGTGTGTGTGTGTGTGGGGGGTGCTGGCAGAGACCTGAGGTCAAAGCCAAGGGTCTTCTTCAAGCGCTCGTTCTTCACACCGAGCTCTCTCACCAAACCTCTGCTAGGCTCTGGTCAACCACTGGGATCGCGTCTCTGCCGCCCCAGCAGACTCACTGCCCAGCCAGTCACTGCCCCAGACTCAGGGCCTCAGGCCTGTGCAGTAGGTGGGTTCCCAACCAAGTCCCCAGTACCCCTGCAGTCAGCTTACTGCTGCTGGTTTCAAATCCTCCCTTTAAAAGTAGATTTATTTATTATGTGGTGTGTGTGTGTGTGTGTGTGTGTGTGTGTGTTCTATGGCATGCATGTGGAATTGAGAGGGTAGCCCTGTGGAGTCACCTAGTAGGGCTTGATACAGCTGTTTGGTTTTTTGTTTGTTTGCTTGCTTTTTGAAACATGGTTTGTTTGCATGACAGTTCTGACTGTCCTGGAACTCTCTTTGTAGACCATGCTGGTCTAGAACACACAGAGATCCACCTGCTTCTGCCTCCCAAGCGCTGGGTATTAAAGGCGTGCACTACCGTGCCTGGCCGATGCATCTGTTTGTAAAGGGTCAAAGAACCATTGAGAAGGGTTCGGAGTACAGTGCCTGGTGCTCACACGGGCCTGGAACGATGCCTTCCCACCAGCCAGACCTCAGAACTGCTGCTCCTTTGACCCCGGGCAGGGTGGCTTCTGAGATGTTCAGTAACCAGTAACTACTCCTAAGTGAGCGCTCCAGCCCTGCCTGAGAAATCAGAAAACAAGACTGGAAAGGATGGATTGGTTCCCAAGGAACTGCTTTCCGGAACAATGCCGAAGGTTTACACAGACACAAAAATATCCAAAATTTGCAGCCTCTGCCATCTAATAAAAAAAATTGACAGTCATAACTGAACGTGCTCGCATACAGCTATAATCCCAGCACTCAGGAGACACAGGCAGAGGAGCCTGATTTTGAGGCCAACCCGCGGTGCCTAACAGGATAAAAAATAATAATAACGACGGCAGAGCTGTAGCGCAGCGGTGGGAAACAAGGCCGTGGCTCCGTCTCAGCACGGGGCATAAACAGATCTGCAACGGAGGAGTAAAAAGAAGTCCAGGAAGCAAAGAAGAAGCTGGGTGGATGGCTTCAGTCCAGGAATTCGGGGGTTGAGCAGGCTGAGGCAGGAGGAGGACTGTAATTCAAAACCATCTCTTCCTCCCCTTATAAAGGATGACTTACAGGACTCAGTTCTCTTACTGTCACGAGGATCCTGGAGCTCAAACCCACTTGGTCAGCCTTGGCGGCCGCACCCCTTACACACTTCACCATCTCCTTCAAGCCCTAAATTCAAGTTTTAGGGTTGACAGTGCCGGCGGTGAAAAATACATGGGTGTGATTGATTCCTTGCGTAGAGTAACACATAAGACATATAAAATACCCAAAACATAAAAAATAACCAAGGAAGAGAGCAGAAGCAGCAGGAGGAAATCGGATGCGGAGAGGAGAGCGTGACGGAGCGGCGAGGTCGCCCTAAGCACGCAACACGCGTTGTTGGCAAGCAGTAAGGCCACTCCAAGCACACAGTATGTGCCATTGGAGTCCCAGGAGAGAAGTAGAAGCGTCAGCTAGGGAGAAATCATCACGGATTTTCCCCACCACCCAGAACTCAAGCAACCCCAAGCGCAGACAGTGACTGACTGGGTAAGAGGATGAGGAGGAGGAGCTGGAGGCAAGGAGAAGGTGGCAGAGACCTTGGCTGGACTGTGCTCCCTAGGAAGGCCAGCGCAGAGGAGGAGCTCAGGGTAGGAAGGGGACTGTGTGACCTGAGATGTTAGGCGGGGAGGCCGCAGGGGCACAGACATGATGAATCTTGGTGTTTAGAAGATGACAGGACCGGCTTCCTGGAAGTCGTAGGCACTGTGTGCGCTGCCGGGGAAAGCGGAGGGCCAAGGGCAGAGCCGCAGACACGTGCGTCAGGAACTTTCTGTGGTGAAACACCATGAGCAAGTCAGCTTATGGAAGGAAGGGCTTGTTTGGGCTTACAGTTCTAGAGGGACCGGAGTACGTGATGGTGGGACACCATGGCAGACGCAGCTGGTGACATACTTCCCACAGCGAGGCCACAGTCCTGAGCGTCCCCAAACAGTGCCGCCAGATCAAGCTTTCGAGTGCATGTACGAGTTTATGCAGGGACATTTTCATCCAAACCTCCATTACATCAGTTAACCGAGAGGTAGAGCGGAAAGAGTCCCAGAGGGTTGTGTCCTGCAGCCGAGAGCACAGTATCTGTAGAGACAATTCAGTGCAAGGATTATTTGTTCCCACTCCTGGGTGCGCCTCTCATTAAAGGAGGGAAGGGGAGAGGGAGGGAGAGGACAGACGCTCACACCAAGCGTTTCTCTTTCTCCTCCCTTTATTCTAGCAGGGTCCTGGTGTGGGGCCACCCACGTTCAGAGATGATATGCCACCTTAAGATTCTTGGGAAAGGCCCTCACAGACACACCCAGAGATACGCTTTTCTAATACGGTACTCAAGTGACATTCCAAATGAGCGTCCCAAGTCTGCCCCATCAACCAGGCACCAAACATGCTGCTTTAAAGAACATTCACCCTAATGTCTGTCCTGCAGGCCAAATGCCCAATAGTCTCAGTGCATCTCCAATAGTACCTACAGCCTCCACCAACAGTCCACAGCCTCCATCAACAGTCCCACAGCCTCTACCAACAGCCCCACAGCCTCCACCAACAGTCCCACAGCCTCCACCAACAGTCCCAC